AAAAAAAAAAAAAAAGAAATATAGCAAACTGAAATGGTTTGCGTCATATCGATACTTATCGATTTATGCGCTCGATGTACGAAGTCGTTAATATTCTTGAAATTAATGGACTGAACATAGTTTCTATCGAGCTAGATTAATGTCATAATAAAGCTTTCGTTCTTCTAGATTTATAAGAAGTATAAACATTTTCCTAGAATTGAAACATTTCCCTAGAATAGAACTATATATTTGATTTCTCAGACAATTAAATTTCCATATTTTTGCCCATTAAATTCAAATCTTGTAAACGTGGCTATGTTCACGATTAGTTTCGAACGAAATTAATTGGAGTTTACAAAACCGTTATCAGAATCGATTCTACGCATGTCAAATCTTCCGATGAATCGCATGGTAACCGTTATATCTCGAACGACCATACGAGCGAAGTATGAATAATGAAAGATATTCATTCCTCTCGTTCGAAAAAACGCGATCCTTCCAAATCCTTTTCTTTTTTTCTTTTTGTTTTAACGAGGGGATAAAAATATTTCGAACGCTTTTTATCGACTAGCTTTGAAAACTACAAAAATTTAAAAATTCATAGAATGTTTAAAATACTTTCTTAGCTATTTCTAAATGAAATAATATTTATGATCTTTAAAGTTACAATCTCCCGAAAAAACATTCAAGATATGACAAAATAATGTAAACAAAACAAGTTTGTCACTTGAAACGAAAAAAGCAATCTATAACCTAAAAAAAAAAAAAACTGGAACCTTTTATTAACTGAAATTTCGAGTGCAAATTTCTGCTAGTGGAATTTTAGTGAAAATTCTTATCAATTTCATCACTGATTCTGAATTCTGACTCCCATATCAAAGAGTCAATTACACTAACACTCGTCGTAATAAGTTCATATACAGATTACAGTACCCTCGAAACGGTCACTCGGGCGTATTTATGCACGGGCTTCAGAAATTCTTTTAAACACCACTTTCTTTAATTGAAATCTGACTAGAAGTAATTCTAGAACCGTATGTAAATTTTTAATTTATTAAGCAGTGCTCCATAACAATCTTAATGATAACAAATCCATCGTTTAATGTCGTATTAACAAACAGCGATGTTAATAAAATGACTGTCGATAGTCGAAGATCGATCGATTCATAACCTTTTCAATTCAAGTTATGACAGTTCCAGATGCCCAATACTTTTGCGAACCAGTATATATGGGCCATCTCAATACCACCGATCCTAGATGTACAGTCTAACCCCAGCATCCCTAATTTACCCGGCATAAACAGCGCCACCGATTCTCATCAAAACACGGATTTGGTTACGAAGAAAAAAGAAAAAAGAAGAAAAAAGAAGTGGTCAAACCAGTTGCACCGCTAAAAGTGCAGCTGAAAAAGATCCAAAGTGAAGCGAAGAAACTCACCGTAGGCCTCTTCAGCGTGACATCTCCGTGGCCGAGCGGTTGGCAAAAATGTCGCGCACGAGTTTTCGAGCCTGTCGCCGATGCGGCGGAACGTAGCACGGCGCGGTGGCACCAGCAATTATCCCGATCACGTCCAGTCACAAAAAGCAGGGAACAACGTGCATCGTGCTGATGCACGATGCTCGCGTTGCACGTCTCTTCCACCAGCGGACGACGAGTGCCCGCTAGCCGAAACTCGCGTGGATTCACGGTTGCCCGACGCACAACGATCACGAGGTCTGCCCGATTCGAGAATATGCCCCGCGATGTTGCAAAGTGTTCGACCCGCTCCGTAAGGGAGAGACACGCCAGCATATAGAGACGAACAGATACGAATCGGTATCTGACGCGTGTGTCTCGCACGGTCGAGACCCTCGAACGATGCAACTACTCCGAGTGAGCCTGAGAGTGTGACATCGGGCCAAAGAGAAAGGAAGCCGAGAGGAACGTGCGAGCCAAAAAACGCGTTATACCCCCACCGGTAACCGCACTGCTCGAGCAACAGCATCCAACTGCTTCGCTGGGCCCATCAACATCATAAGCAACCCCCAGGCAACTGTGGCGACGTCTGGCGTACTTTCGCGGATTTCATTCATAGCCGAGCTACTCGTTCCCCTTTACTTCGGTCTGAAATTATTTTCGATACACGATGCAGGTCCATTTACATGAACTTTTAAAATAGGGAAATAATAGGACTCCATTTATTCTCTCCGCCAGCTATAATTTTTCACATAAATGACTTTCAGATAAGTCGATTCAACCGTACAGTGAATTTTGTTTAAATAAACGGAGGTCAAATATAAAGAGAGTTGTAATTATTTCGTTAGGAATTCCTTTACAGATCTGCTTGCAAATATTTATTGATGAAGTCAATTGTGTGTAATTCAGATTACACTTCGTTTTGGAGCATAGTGAATTCTAGACTTTTTTTTATCATGTATGACAAATTTTGCCGAATAAAATTAAAAAATGTTAATCTGTTAAGGCGTGAAAATTACTATTTCAATAATTATGCGTATAAAGTTTATGAAAATTGGACGCCATATTAATTTTGGCCGGTAAAGTCATTATCGTAATATCGATATCTCTTGCGTGTCGACTAATTGTGAGTGATCGATGATCGAATCTTTTGCACGGTGCCAATTTATTTGTTCATTCAATAGCAACATTTTTCTTAACGATATTAATTAAAGTTAATCTAAATCTAATTCAAAGCAATACCAATTCAAAACTCATGATAAATAAGTTTACTGTATTTGCTCTTATTTACTGTCGGTAATGTAGTTAATATAAAAAATTTTTACATTTTTTTTTTAGTGCACGTTATTATTAACAAAATAGTTGAGGATAAATCTCGAGATTTTAGAATTTTAGACAATTTATTTTGTGCATTATGAATTTAATTTAATTTAGATAGTTGTATCACGGACGAGGTATTTTAGCAGCAAATAACCTCATTATACAAGAATCAATATTCCAATATAACCACAAACTTTACTTCCAACAACATTTATTTAAGCAAATAATACATAATAATAGCCTTGAAAAGATTATAAATTGACATAGAAGTCAGATTTACATTCACCAATTACCACGAAATTCACTGCAGACTCTTATGCCCACGACCAAGTTAAGATTCCCCCGTAACTGAACTTAAGGTGAATAAAAAAATATTATTGTTAGTTGTACTGGATCGAATGTGCCACTTTAAACCGACCAGTAGCCTCGAAAATTGCGAATAAATCAGCCATCTAAAGCAAAAGCTTACGATAAATGTTCATCGATGTAACAACAAGGTTACTGTTGGATCCAGACAGGAAAGACGTTGCGACAAAAATGTAGTCATAATAATTTTCAACGCTGGAGTGAATCTCTCAGCCTTGTGCATTGCGATTACGTACACCCACTTCTACACGTGAACCTGCAGATCATGTGGTTGCTTGTATTAGCCGCAGTGTGGATCTATATGCATCAGTGGGCCACGATGAACGCTACACGTTGGTCGTACATTTCCCGTCGCTACTTTAAAATGTCAAGAAAAATGTGAGGTCTTCAGACAGTCACGTAACTTGCGGCTGGAAGTCTCCAAATGCAACGAACTGTTTAATCCCGAGGTGAGATTCCAATGTTGCGATAACGTTCTTAGAAAGAGCCGCATTTTTGGCATGCAGCAAATCGTTAACGTGTCTGGCGCTTGTCTCGATGTTGATATCTCTTAAGAATTTATTCTATGTCGCACTACAGAATGCTATCAAAGATATCAAAGATATCAAAGATATTGTTCATTAATGATACACCGATAAGTAATCAGTTATATTATTTAAGCGATACCAATCGCTTGTTTTCTAACGAGGATTTTACGATCTTTAATTACATAAGCGAAATCGCTGTACAAAAAGTAATTTTCACGTATCAATTTCCATTTTGTTTTGTTTTTTGTTATTATCGCTAATTTTGCGTGAAAATAATTAATGATAATGACACTGTAATAAGACTGAAATTTCTAGTACATATAATGTTTGAATAGTGTAATTCGTATAATGATTAAAATATCAATATTTATGTGATAATTGTAGTTTCAGGATGTTATTTGTGATATCTCCAAAGCTAGGAATTATTAATTAACAGTCATGCAGATCATATCACACATCTTGAAGTGTTATAAGTGTTATAATAATGATATCCACAGGACCAAGGATGTCAAAACGACTGAGCTTCTATGGTCTAGTAGGCCTGGCGTCCCTTTGCATCTTCTTCTTAGCATTTAATCAACGCTACAGCAGCTACCTTGAGCATCGACTGCAGCCGGTGATATCGGTCAGTAAAAAATCGGAGGTGGGGATTGCTCTAAATTGAGTCACGCCAAACACGCTCTTTCTGACGGTAAAGTCTAACTTTTGCACCTAACTTTTTTCCACTTGTACACTAACAATGAACTGTGAAGCCATTGCAAACAGTTGCCAGCTCTCTTTCTCCCTGTTTCCATAACTTCCTTTTCCTTTCTTTTTATTTTTTTGATTCAAGCAGTAGCAAATACAATAATCACTGGGATAATCTTAAATTATTGGTATTAATCTTGCATAAAAAATTTAACAACAACATTGTAAATATTTCAACACTCCACATTAAATATTAACAGAGAGTTTCCTTTACCAGAGCGATATATGTTTGGAATGATTACTTATGGAAAAATAGTCATAAGGAAAATAAGTGTATAATAACATAATAGTAATATAAGTGATAAAACTTTATATTTTTTTTGTAATTTTTTTTATGTCATGCATGTTTTGCGTAAATTCACACTTTCTTTTGCATTCCTAATATTTATAATGTACATATAATTTTATTTACACCACTGCATACTTTGGACACTAATTCACTACCTACATAATGAAAGAGGGAGAAAGATTATTATCCTGATTACATCAGCAGCATTATCGTGTTCACAACATATTATGCACTTTCAGTATGCTAAATTATCAATATTTTCTCCAATATAGGATGTGGAAATAAGGCCACGCATCATCAAAATTCAAGATCCAGTGACGGTAAGCAAAACGCACGTAGATTTATACATTTTATCAATTTTGTTCAATAGAGTAAATGTTATAAATTGATATCCATCATATAAAGTAAAAAAGTATTTAAAGAAAAATTTCAATGACGAATGAGTGTATCAGAGAACATAAAATGATTGCCACTTTTTTTCTTTTGTGTTTAACATGTACAGGTGAGTGAATATTTGTCTTGAGAGTAACTTCATTCACAATGACCTTTTTCATCCATTTAACACATTTGGAATGGTATTGGGAATAAAATTCACAAAAAATGCTTAATCATTCTTGCTTGCATTGTCTGCAAATTTAAATAGGATTCAATTTTAAATATTTCATAAATTATGCATGCTTCATAGGCATATTTTAGAGGGTCCATTGAAAATGTCACGCTTACTGAAATACAAGAAGTCGTTGATCAACAGAGAAAGGCAATTGAAAGAGAAATGGAAGATTATAAATATCCCAATGGAAGATATGGAGTTAATGTCAGGTACATTGGTTTTCATTTTTAAAATTAACATATAAGATTTCCTCTGCAATTATATAATAATTCTTCTAGTAAACTGGAAGACTTAGTGTTAGAGAAAGGAGGAAGACCCATGAGAAGTGTAATTTTGACAAGTTGGCGAAGTGGTAGTACATTTTTTGGAGATGTGATCAACGCGCATCCGGCCAATTTTTACCACTATGAACCTCTTCTTGATTTTGGAATTGTACAAATCAGGGGGCCACCACTTGCTGATGAAGCTCTTAGAAACCTGGAGGCATTATTAAAATGTGACTTTAGTAATCTTGGTAGGTTTTCTAGTAAGACATAAGGTATGAGGACGTATAGATTGAATATTAATCTAATTTTATTATTAATCTAATATTATTAATCTAATATTAATCTAATTTTCTAAAATAAATAAATAAATTCTCAGATCGATACTTGGATTATGGTAAAACGCATCCTTGGGTCTTCAATCATAATACTCATTTATGGAAACAGTGTCAGATTCACAAAAAAATTTGTTGGGATCCACGATTCGTTTCAAAATTTTGCAAATTATTTCCCTTTCAATCGATGAAGGTTGTTCGTTTAAGACTGCGTGCCGCAGAAAAGCTTTTAGAACAGGAAGAGTAAGAATGCAGCTGAATTTCTTTTCAACTGATATCGTAAATGCGACAAATCTCGAAATAATAATTTCTTTTAGTTTAGGAATACGTTTAGTTCTATTGATTCGTGATCCGAGAGGAATTTTGCAATCAAGGAAACATCGAGAATGGTGCCCCACTAAACCAGATTGCTCTGATCCTGCATTGGTATGTGCAGACATGGTTTCAGACTTTAGTGCAGCTGTTCGACTAATAAAAAAATATCCACGTACCTTTAGGTATGCATTTCTTCTGTAATAAATATTCTACATATAATTTTAAAATAATTCTCTTCTTTAATTTAGGGTGATACGTTACGAAGACTTATCTGTAGATCCCTACCGACATGTGAGGGAATTATACAATTTTTACGGTTTGGACTTTCACGTAAACGTGAAGAAATTTTTAGATACACATACAAAGAACGATGTTGGTGGTGTCTCGAGTACTTTCCGAAATTCAAAAGTAGCACCCTTTCACTGGCGAACAGATCTCGATTTCGAGGAAGTCGACGAAATACAAAGAGTGTGTGCAGCTGCAATGCGACTATGGGGATATGTTATGGCGTCGAACTCCAGCCACCAAAAAGATTTCGACCCGCTCACAGACTACCAACTACAATTATGACATGGGCGTAGTGCATGATAAATGTCTAGTATTTGTATGTAACTACTACTGTGTAGAATGGTTATAATTCTTAGCTTATCTGCACAGATTATCGAAATTATCACAAGTGCCCTCATTCATATTGAAAACGTGGTGCTGACAGTTTGTTCAGACAAGCGCTTATGAACTCTTACTATTAATAATTCTTTTTACCGATCAGTTTTGGATTGGTAAAAGAAAGAAAGAAAAAGAGAGAAATAATGAAAGAAGTAGAAAATTATTGGACCTCACAAGACCAATGGTGAAACTCGTTCCTTAAAAAACTTAAGAGATGCATAAGTGCTCTTCTAGCTTGTTGCATAAAAAACAATCTCAATCTAAGACCAGCGTGAAAATTAGGAAAAGTTCCTAAGACCCTGGTGTGCAACAAGGAAACATCCATATCAACGCAAATATTAAACGAACCTAAATAATAATCTTTTTTAGAATTCAAAGTTTAAATATCGCGGTGTTGGTATAATAAATCTAATACATTAGGATTTTCCACTGAAATATTGAAAAAAAAAATATGATCCGACATTCTTACAAAATCTTCTTACAAAATATTATTTTTCGCTAAATCCTTAAGAAAAGTTTTATTAAAACTTTGTGTAATGTTATTTCATTGCGTAATTTTAGTCTTTTCAAAGATGAATATGTGCATATAATTTTAGTTGCAATATTGGTTATATAAATGAACAAAATTTTATTGTTCTTGATTCGCAATTGTTATTATTTCTGTCTTACACTCTAATATTGTTATTGTTTTTTAAAACGTGTGTAAGATCGAAATTTCAAAATTCGTAAGACAAATCTGTAAATAATTAACACTAGTTAAATATTGGCGTATCCATTGTTGTATTACATCTCAGATACTTTTCTTTAAGTATAGTTTCCACGTAACCGGCCTTGAAGCCAAAAATTAGATAATACAATTATATTTGCACTAATTTAATAGAAATTTAAATTAAAAAATATCACTTATGATTTAGTAAAAAGATTAGAAAATCAAATAATTGAACAAATGTTATTGTCACTTTATTTTATGAATTATATATTTTTTTTTACTCAGTGTACTAGACAGTTGTTTGCATGAATTTTTACTAAATATGTACATCATACTTATAAAATAATTTCTATGGTTTTAAATATGTAAATTCTGTTTAAGCAATAATTATTTGTTTGTCAAAAAAGCAATTTACAAAAGCAATTGCTCATTAGAGTTAGTTAAGTACAAGTGCTCAATATTGACAAAATGTTACTTTATAATTATATCCGCAATTAACACATTTAAATTAACTGGCTATGTAAATTTTTTTCGAATTATATATCGATCATTTAATATATGTATCGTCTATTTTTGCAGTTTTAATCGTTTTACTTTCAACCACAATTATTTTACTTACCGTTAACTTAAATATTTACAAGCAGAAGCATTTTGTGAATTTTTGTTCATTAATAAAACAACTCATCTAGTCCAAATTGTTTTTTAATCCCATTCAAATATATACATATTTTATTAAACATATTCATATGTTAATAATTAAAATTATTAATACATTACAATAAAAATAAATAATAAAAAATATGCATCTTTTTTCCAAATACTTTTATTAGTCCATCTTAAAAAATTGTAGAAAGATATATACAAAAAGTTAAAAATTTTTGGTTAGGAAATTAGAAAGAAAAATATGTGTGTCATTACATTATCTCAAGAAAAAATTTGTATTAGCATTCCATTCTTTTCCAAGTTCATCTGAAACAATATAAATTAAATTTTATATCATTAAATGATTTATAGCATGTATTAGAACTATCACTACAGCAACTAAAATGGATTTTTTGTTCAATTATTTGAAATACCTTTTTGTTACTTATATCTTCTTGTACTATACTGCGTAATTAATCTTTTCTAACCTATAAACAAAAAAAACAACTTTTTTAAATCATGAATTTTGTTAAAATTGCATTCTATAATCAAACAATTGCAATTCAGTGAGGGCAAGTTGTAATCATGCTATAGTAGTAAAAATCATTTTAGCGTATATTTTCAAATCATCATCAGTTTTTTTTAATAAAATTATATTAGTTTTCTACAGATATATTTACCTTATTTAAAATGATGATGCACTTCATAATGCTGCGAGACCTAATAAAAAAATAGATATAGAATTTTTAATTGAAAAATAAATATTATATATTTTATATTTTAATTGTAATAAATTGTAATCAGAAAAACATAACATCAAATCTCTTCAGACATATGCTTGTTAAGTACATCATACTACAATAAAAGAATTATTGTAATATGAAAATGTGTAATTATTAATAAAAAAAACTATTTACCTCTCTGATTTTTTTAAAATGCCTCTGCGGTTAAAACATTTTCATAGATGCATACATAATGCATTTTATCCTATAAAAATATAATTGAAATTAATCACAATTACATTCAATAAATAAGCTTTTGATAATATAAAATTTATATATCAGGAAATGGAATCACCATGATTTTATGTAAGACAGGGATAACTTAAAATCATCATAAAAACATTTTAAATACTTTTTAAGCTTACAATATAAAATAAATTTTTTTTCAAATTACCTCTTTTGTATTATTTTTCTCCAAAGTTTAATTTCCTCTATTCTCAATTCATGTTATGAATATCATAGTATTCATTAAAATTAGATGTTCAACCAATTTCGTTGTTTCTATCTGAAATTAAAAGTGCATTGTTATACATTTTTTACTAAATTTAATGAATAAAAATTATATTATTCAACATAATAAATATTCAGATTTATAATATCTACATGATGTTTCTGATTGACTGAGGTAGGTAAAATTATTCATCATATTGTATCAAAATAAATGATTATAAAAGGAAGTAAAATCTAAAATTTCTAAAATTATATTTTATTCTCTATAAAAATAACAAAGAATGCTTACCAAGGGAAATCATTGCAATGTATTGCAAATTTACTCCTTTCATATTTTCTCTGAAAAGAATGAAAAATTTAATTTACACGTGAACAAATAAAATAAATAAATACAAATTTTTATAATTTTCATCAGAAATTAAATCACTCATATAATGCTCAGACTGGGGCGATATTGTCATCATATTTAAAATAAACTATTAATAAAACTTCAATTTAATTTAAAAAATTAACTGCAAATCTAATGAGAGAAACAAAATTAATGAAAAATAACTAAAGAAGCATGAAGTGAAAATTGAAAATCATAATGAACATAATACAGGCAATAAATTAAGAGAAATTTTATTCTTGCAAAATTATAATAGACTCACCAGGAAAGTTGCAAACAAGCCGAAACTAAACTTGATCAGCAACAGACCATCCAAAGCACGTTTCTGACTAATTTTAATGTTTTAAGCTAACTCTAGAAGAGAAACAAATCGAAACTAATTTATTAAATTAAATCATAAAAATTAACCAATTACACATTAATATATATATATTCAGAGTCATATTTCTAGATTATAATCAAAGAATATATCATACGAACGAGACTATTTGCGTATCATCATACAAAATCAAAATTTAGAATAAGCAGTAACAAATAAAAAAAATATAATAAAAAAATAATATGCCAGAGTGTCAGTTGCTTAAAAAATATTGCATTTTTATGATGTTTTGTAATAAAGCGCGTGATGATTGTGGATTATATAAAATATAAAATGCGCCTACCTCACCACTTCCATCTCCAACGAAATCCAAAATGAAAAATGGAGGTACACTTATTCAAGAAAGCTTAAATAGATGATAGCCTTGGATTATACATTTTCAAGAGTGAACTACCATTATCCCACTTGTGCCCTCTAACAAAATTATAGTGAATTAACATTTTGTTAAGTCATGAATCACACATGATTATGTTACAATTATTTGTATATTTGCAGACTTGATTCTAGACATTAAAAAGATGAAAAAAATTCATTTTTCATATAAAATATTTTTTATAGGCTGGAAATATGCTAGTATCAGTTGAGGAATTTTGATATAATCTATGAAAATGATTGACATATATAAGAAGGCAATTTTGATATTTTTCGATGATTAAGAATGCTATTAATTTTTCTTGAATAATTGAGATAATAGAAATATTATCTTATAAAATATATAAATAAATAAGTAGATATGTATAATATAAATATATAGTCGTTATAAACAGTACTAAGGATTATGAAAAATATCTGTTATTAAAATAATAATAACGATATATTCGATACTACTTTATTTTAACAAGATCGATTTTTATCAATTTTTAAATTTACTCTCAATCTCAATCTCACATATTTGTATAGTACTTAAATAAACAATATTTCATGATATATAAGAACATGATTTCAATATTATTCGTATAATTAACTATGTACTTTCTGTATAGAAAGTATAACTGAAGGAACAAGACAGAATTTTGTCTTGGAATGAAGAAACTTGTTGCAACATGATGTAAGACATCGATGTGAAAATTAAACTGTAATAAAAAAAATTCTTGGCTTTAAAGCATTTTTGAAATGAGTGGCTTATCAGAGGACGATAGTTCTGATAGTAGCAATGAATATTTGGTTGGTCCAGAGAAAATTAATTTAAATTCCAGCTTCTTCACGAAAAAGAGTCCCGACGATGCAACGGTTGTGGATAAAATCAACACCGACGATGAAAACACCGATGACGAGGATTTCGAGGACGTCAATCAAGCAGGCAATATCGAACTTTTCGCCCAAGTTTTAAAAAACTTAGAACATTCACAAAAGCTCCAATTCAATGATGAAAACTCTGAAAAGAAAGAGCCGTATTCAGACCATCCTGTGTCGCAAAAAAAAGAGACACAAAAAATGAAAAGTGATATAAAAGATGTCACATCCTCTAATGAAATAAACGAACTGTTGCTCCAAGGTGAGAGTAGTGTAAGTTCATCCTTTAAAAAGCTTTCTGTAAATGGAATAGCAAAAAATGAGGAGGATGCCGAGCCTCCTACCGAATATACTATTCCAAAGAATGGTGTCAAGATTGTCTTACCAGGCACCAGTTTAATGATTAACAAAAAGAAAAAGGGAAAACCAGATCTGAAAGCAGTCTTGAGGAAACGATTAAGAGATAGTCAAATATTAGTGGAGAAAGTAGGATTACTCTGTTGGTTGGCTTATGGATTTTACTTGAATCGTCAGATAAATCAGCCCGAGATAATGGCTAATGTGTTATCATTTATTTCCACTTCTAATTATCCAAAGAATAGAATAGATCTCACATATTTAGAGAAGTTTACAAAATGGTTCAAACATATGTTCACATTTGAGCCTGTTGAAAGCAATGGCAACAAACAAATAGACAAAGAAACTTTGTTAAAAATACTGAAGGAAAAGAAGATCTCAAATTATAAAGAATTGGTATTACTATATATTGCTACATTGAGAGCTTTAGGTTTAAATTGTAGACTAGTTATTTCTCTTTGTCCCCCTCATCGAATATATAATGATAACCCACTGTTTAAATCAGATAATAAGGAATCTGAAACTGCATCAACAAGTAAAAGTACTACAACTAAAGGGAGAAGTTCAAAGAAAAAGGAAAGTAAAAAAGAAGTTCCCGATAAAACTAATGTGATTAAGAATAGCTCAGAGGCAAAGAAAAATGCCAATTTAGAAGCCAAGAGGAGGGCTGCTGAAATTTTACATTCAAAAAACAAGGGAGTTAAAAAATCAAATACTAAAAGTACTGAAAATAAAGGTGAATCTCAACCTGCAGTACAAGAAAAAGGTCTGTCTAATTTAAGACAATTAAGATCCCGTAAAGTTAATACTACAAAAACAATGAACTCTACAGACATATCTTCAAAAACAGATGACACAAAATCAAAGTATTATATAGAAGATTCAACAGATTCTGAAACAGAATTTCAGCCTAAACCAAAATTGAAAAAGAATAATGATAAAGAGGAGGCATTACAAAGTTGTAAGAACACTAGGAAAAAGAATACAAAATTAATATCCTCTGATAGTGAAGATGAAACAAATAAAACAAAAAGGAGGCAAGACATTTGGGCTGAAATATATTTAGAGTCAGAGGAGAGTTGGATCTGTGCGAGTGTAATGGACGAAAAGATTCATTGTGTGACTGAAGTATATGTGAGTAATTTATTAGCTAGTTCACATTTGCAAACATTGTAATAATAATTGTGTTTTGTTACAGAAAAGAGCAACAAAGCCTGTATTATACGTAGTAGCTTGGAATTCCGAAGGTTTATTAAAAGACGTGACTAGACGCTATTGTGCACAATGGCTTACAGTCACACGTAAACAGCGGATTGATGAAAAATGGTGGAGTGAAACCTTGTCTTATTGGAAAGAAAAAAATACTGCCATTTCTAGAGCCGAAGATGAAATGCTATTACAAAAGTATTTAGGCATATTTATTTAATATAATACATATATTTATTTATTCAACAATTTCATTAAATTACAGGGAATTGGAACAACCTTTGCCTAAAACGATTAGCGAAATCAAAGGTCATCCACTATATGTCATTCAAAGACATTTACTCAAATTTGAAGTATTATATCCTCCAGATTGCGTTCCTTTAGGACATACTTCTACCGGTGAAGCCATTTACTCTCGTCACTGTGTACATACGGCTCGTTCAAGAGAAACTTGGCTTAAACAAGCCAGAGTTGTGAAACCTAATGAAGAACCTTATAAGATAGTCAAATCTCGTCCAAAATACGATAAAGTGCGCATGATTAGTTCCTCGTTCGTAAATATTTATTCTATAAAAGACGATAATTAAATTTGTAAAATTATTTAATTGCAACAGCTTTCTGGATTAAAAATTAAGGATTCACCATTGGAAGTATTTGGTGAATGGCAAACTATGGAATATGAACCACCAGTAGCCAAGGATGGTATTGTCCCACGAAATGAGTATGGAAATGTTGATCTGTTTAAACAATGCATGCTTCCAAAAGGCACTGTTCATATAAATCGTAAGTTACTAAAGAATTAATTAAATGTATAAATTATTCGCGACGTTCTGAATTAAACGCATATTTAAAAATAAATAGAAATAAGATAAATGTATATAATAGAAATAAAAATTGAGACTAATATATTATAACATAGTTCCAGGATTGAATCGTATTGCTCGTAAACTTGACATTGATTGTGCACCAGCCGTGGTAGGCTTTAATTTCGGAGCTATGGGTGCAGTGCCTGCAATCGAAGGTTACGTCGTTTGTTCTGAGTACGAGGATACTTTGCGAGAAGCTTGGGAAGTTGAACAAGCTGAAGCAATTAAACGAAATAAAGAAAAACAAGAGAAACGAATTTATGGAAATTGGAAGAGACTGATTCAAGGTTTGCTCATAAGAGAACGACTGGCAGCAAGATACGAGTTTTCAGAAGAAAATAAATCAATGACTAAAAAACGTGCGAAAGATAAGAAAACAAACACAAAGAAGACTAAGTATTTTAAATTGTAAAATAGAATCATTTTGGTCATTTTGTAAAAACGTTAATGATATTAACAGGAATAATATTATTTATTATTACGGTGTATTACTATTTGTGTAATAAATAATTATGATATAAATAATTTATAATAAACTAAGAATAAGTTTGATGTATAAGAAATTTTCTAGGAAGCTGATTTATTTACTTTTAAAATAAATCAATGACTAAAAAACGTGCGGAAGATAAGAAAAATCATACGAGTTAGATTCTTATAAATTAAACATTTATAAAATTTATATATATATAAAAATACATAAATTTTTCGTTCGGTATTTTTCAGATTGTATTTTCTATAATTTATTTAAGCATTGTTTCAATATTTTTGAAGAACATTGTAATTGTTAAGAAAGTTTTGTAAGTTGTTTTGCCGATTGTTATTGATATAATATAGTGATAATTACAATATTTAATAGTGATATAAATTAGTGATAATTATAATATTTAATTTATACACGATATTTCTATAAAATGTACATAAAAGTAGTCAATTTTTAAAAAATAAATTGATATACATACATTTGTATAAATGTTATGTCGATCTATGACCGTTATTTGAATATTATCGATATATCGATATACTACAGAATATAAATGGGATTTACACTTTGTACATGTACAAAAGTGTTTACTAAACAATATAGATTAAATCTTTTATGAAAAAACTTTTGTAATACGTTTATTTTTAATTTTTAATGTGATATGGATCCAGAATATTATAGTACTCTGTATAAATGGTAAGTTGTGCAAAATTTTAAAACTAGAAGATATTTAGAGGTTAAGTTTTTCAAACAATAACTTCTATTTTAGTATTTGATTTTATATTTTAGGTTTGAAAAATGTGGAGTAATATCGAATATGAGAACGCATCTTCGTCAAAATTTAATAAATGCGTTAAAAAGTAAAAATATTATTTTAAAAAATTATGGGCCCAAATGTGCAAAGCAGTATGTTTACGATCTATTAATAGCAGAATATTTATTGAATCATAATTATGCATATACATTATCTGTATTTGCCAGTGAAGCCCCATTGTTAATTAATTTTTTTAACAAGACAGTTCAAAAATCTAGTAGCAATGAAGAGGATAATGAAAAATTACAAAGTGATTATATATTGCACGTTTTGGAAACGTTAGGTATTAATCCTCGTGATCCTAAAGGACAGTATGTTATATCACAGTACAAAAAAAATGATATGCCTCTTCTTTTATGTATATTGAAGTCTATAACTATGTTCACTTATAATATACACAATGATGTACCAATAAAAGAAAAAGTATTCGTTTGTAATGAATCCACTCAAACTGAAGTTTCTTGGCAAGTTCATAGTTTTTATACAGAAAAATTAACTGCTTTGAAAAGGAAGATATCTACACATAAGCAAATGGTTGACAATAAACTACACAAAAGGGAAATGATATTAAAAGAACAGGCAATTATCATTAAGCAACAACTTGTAATATTAAATACAAAATTGCATCAAGTTCAGGTAATGATAATTTTTATTTTATGATTTTAATTCAATTAGAATAAAATAAGGAAATATAAATCTTTTTTATAGCATATGATACATAATATGAGTTTGAAAGAAAAACAACTAAAAGAAAGAAAACAGAATAATGAACAAGTTTTACAAAAGGAAAAGGAATTAACATTGAAAGAAAAACTATTATTACAAAAAGCAGACAGGTACATGTATGAATCATAATATTAAATCAATAATTGTTTGTGTTATTATACATTATTTTCGTAGACTGAAACGGGAGCAAGAAGATTTTAAAAAACTAGAAGAAGAATTTAAAAAAGCTCATATGCAGAAAGGTGTACAAACTGAACATTCAGTAAAATTATGCAATCATTTTTTACGAAACATTGAAATACAAACAGATACTGTAAAGGACATACAACAAGAGAATAAAATTGAGGTCCTTATTAAAGAAAAAAAAAAATTAAGTGCTCTTATTCAGGAGCAACAATTAAGAATAGAACAAATAACACAACGAGCTCTTCAGTTGTCTCGACAAGTGGAAGGAATACGCTCGTTGAAACCAACTGAAGTTCCAACACAAACTGTTAGTGCAAATACAATTATTAGTGAAAGCAGTTCGACAGAAGATATTCTCCAAGATGCAAAGATGAGACTTAAACGTTTAGAAGAAGAAAGCTTAAAAGCGGATCAGTATTATTATAATTTCATTAATAAATCACCTTAACATATAATATAACATACAGTAATCTGATAGAAATAAAATAAGGAAAAATCGAAAAAAGATGTAATTTGTGTAATATTTATGCCAGTTTTCTTTTGCATAAAAAAAAGAATGTAATATTTATTCTGAATTTTTAAAAAAATATCGGGAATAATAATTAACGAAACAAGCGCTATATCAAATTGAATATTTATTACGTTCATTGATAATTCCTATTATAAATTATATAAAATTTTAATCGTATGTACAAATTTAAGACTGAATAGAACAAAGTGCTTTTGTTACCTAGTTTATTTTATAAAATTGGACGTTAATATAATATACAAATTATTCGCTATCTTTTTTCTTTATTATTTGAATTCTACCTTAATTACATGCAACACCAAACGTAGTATATAAAATGTTAAGTCGAATCTTTTCCATTGTTGTACATCATCTCCGTTTGGGATCCGAACTTCTCCTAGTACTCAGAATTAAGGATTATATTTCTTTATCTTTTATATAATAATTGAAAATACAAACGATCTTTATTCATAGTTTACGAGATATAATTTTTTTTTTCGATTTTTAGCATGCATTCTTTAAAGGATATTGTTTGTCCCGGCTTTCACGGCCTTCCCGTTCATGAGTACGTTCCTTTGTGTAGGGTGACTTTTCCTGAAAATACATTCTCATATGAATCTTCTGAATGTCGTGTTATCTTGCAATTGGCGTTTGGGTATTTGATAGTATCACCTAGTTTTTCTGGTCTTTGCTATTGTCTCCCATTTCGTCTTTTCAATGTACTCGAAGCGGACGTCTTTATCAACTAAGGGGTCAAGGAATAGTGTTAGAAAAATTATTAAAAAGTTAATTTATGGGGAGAAATGTTTGGGACAAAATGTAAGATTGATGTAACGGGATATGCGAAAAAAGTGTGGCACGTTCTTTTCGAAATGTGTTGTCTTGTATGTTTCTCTATTAATAGGATTGTTATCGCGAATTCCTCTTAAATTTTTTTTTTTTTCTAAGCATGGGAAAGACAAGTAATGACCTACTTATGACCATTTTTAACAAATACCTTAAAGAATCTATTAAATTCGAATAAAATGTCGTACGAATAAAGTATTCGAAATTATTCGAACATGTCCTAATAAAAATATAATCTCTTATATCTTCGACAATGAATAGCAGAAAATTTCAATTAGAATTACTAACCTTGTTGTAGTGATGCTTTTCTCTATGCTCGGGGATGTCACCGTTTTGATGTGTTCCTTTTGCTGAAAGCAATTTTTATTACTTAATTATAAAGAAACCGAATCAAAGTAGATTTTAAATTACTGGAAAAATTTTCTACCTTTCTCATCATCTTTTCTTCTTTTTTGTTCAGTTGTTACTGCTGATTCATCTGTTCTATCCTGTAAAATATGAAAGAGATAATAAATTATATTATATTTAGAATATGTTATTAATGGGCGATTTATTAAAAACTCGAAACATACTCTTTTTCGTGCGAATTTCTTCTCTCTGCGCAACTCTTTCTGTTCATCTCTTATTTTGCCTTTGCTTGAGCGTTCCTTTTTGTCGAAACTTCCCTCGGCACGTCTCCCCTCCTGTTAACATTAAAAATTCAACCACATAAATAATATACGAAAAACATTATTGTAAAATTTAATCCTTACCTTTTGTACATTTTCAACTTTTTTTCTTTTGGCATCTGAAATTAGACATTATCAGTTTTGGATTATTAATTTGGAATAAAAAACATATGTATTATATTTTTTGTTAAAGTATATTTTTTTACTATGTTGTTTTTTCAACACAAGCTTTATGTTCCCTAAAAAATACTAGAAGTAAGAAAATTTGATTATGTAATTTCATGACACGTATTTATAACTTTTTAATGCAAACCTCTATCTGATCCATCTTGTGTTGGTCCGGAACTAGCACTACTATTTGATACACTAGAAAGATCACGGTCTAAATTATCTACAGCACTGCTATAATAATGTTCATCCTGTAAATTAAGATTAAGAACATGGGAATATGCTTATCACGTAATATAGTTTGCAGAAAATTTATAATTACTTTGTAGTATTTTCGGTCTTTTTTATCTATCGTGTCATCTTCCTTGATTTCATCCTTTTTTAAATGTTTATCTTTTCCTTCCAGACTTTCTTTATTTTCTTCCTTTTTCCTAATTTTTTCCGAGCTTTCACTGTTTCATTTAACGAAAATTTAGTAACAATTTTTGATCCTTTATTTAGTGAAATTAAAATATGTATTACGCAACTTACTGATGCAATTGGTTCGATGCACTTCGTTTTTCTCGTTGATCTTTACTTTCTTTCTCTAACCTGGTGTCGCCATTTGTAATTTCTTTACCAGATATTCCATCCCCAACTTTCTCCGAGACATCACTGTTTGGAGTATCTTGTGTTTTTCCAGCCTGTCAGAAAAATGTAGAAATTGCTTTCCAACGAAGATAATACTGAATGAACGAATAATTGATAATAATAAAGCAGACCTTATCTCCCACGTGATGAAAATCTGCCTCGCGAATCATATTTGGAGTTTTGGCCTTTAATTGGCCACTGTACGATGTAGCCAGGACGTGTAAATCTTGGCGTTGTCCACGTTCTTCTTCTCTCACTTTCTCTACTTTACGCTCAAGAATTTGTGACAATTTTGCCAAGACAGGAAAATGTGGCAATATTTTTATTAATATTATCAAGGAATTTCTTATTTGTACATAGTCTTTAGAATCCAAACAAACTACAATTGCCTGTAAATATGATATATATTGATTTACAGTCGAAAAAATGATCTTGATGTAAAATCATTACCTTTGTGATTTTATAATGCCACTTGTGGCACACATGTCTATAATTTTCAAATCCTACCATATCGTTAGCCTCAGAGAATTGATTGCTAACACGGAATTTCGTTACGAATCCCGGATAATTGCTACATTCCTAAAAATAAGAATAAGTGTATTAATAAAATTTTAGAGGTTCATCGAATTTGTTGTAAACTAATATACCTTATCGAATATGGCTTTCTCAGAGTGCCATCTCATTACTGTTTCCAGCATGGCGCATAAAAATCTCCCGTAACGATTTGCTTCATTTTCGGTACATGAGGTAACTGAATATGTTATATCACAGAAAAGCTGAAAGATTTTTATTTTTATTACATGGTAAATAGTGCAGTATTTAATACACGAAGTGCTTTTTTTCTTTTCGGTAAATTATCCTTACTCTGTCATAGCAAAGAAGAGTTGAAAAATTCGCAGTCTTCAAAGAATGTATGGTATGAACGAATTTAGCGCAATACATGGCATCCACAGTTGTAAATGTACATCGAGGAAACAGACATAATTGTAGGAATTGCGTTATCGTTTCATTTTTCGCTGATTTTGCGCTTCGAGATAAAAACCATGTATCTTTTTCTTGCCTAATAAATTGGTGTTAATAAAGCAATAACATTACAATAAAGCAATTTTGCAGTAAAATGTATCAATATTAAATCGAACAAATTTTACCTTAGATATGCAAATACTTTTTCAACATGTTCTTCCTGCTTTCTTCTTTCGTCTTGTAGTTTTTCAATTAGAGTCGTATACCTTTCTTGCTCTTTCTTTCCCTTACTAACATTCTAAAAGAAGCAAGAAGTACATTAATTTAGAAGCGAATCATAAAAAAAAATTACCGTCAGAATGAAAAGGTATGAACACACTACATCTTTGGAATCCGCACTTTGTGCCGCGAGTTGCTTTAATTTGTTAATTTCTCTCTGATAACTCTCAACAGGAACATACAGATCGTACATAGACAAGGACCAAAATGTCACTAGAAATTGTGGCGAGATATCTTCCCATACTTTCAATGGATGTAAAGGTCTGACTGATTGAGCAACAGGCGCCATAACTGCTTGTGCAGCTTCTGCATACTTTGCTTGTTTCATAGCAGTCGACATTTTTTTGTAATTTGGATCAGCTTTACGCAAAGCATCGTACTTAATCTGGAAACAGAATTGAATAGCAATGATAAGCCATAGTTATTTACTTGTGATATTTAAAAAAAAAGATACTCACGTTAATGGCGTGTGCAAACATTGGTCTTGCAAGAAAAAATGCGACATCAGAATGTATATGATTGTCCTGGAGCATAGAATGTATGGAGGGAAGTCTTTCCACGTATTCATCTACTGTCATAGTGGATCCCAAGAAAGTACCAAATTGGACTAATGTATCTTGACACTGATCGTACAGTTTACCTATAATTTTAGATAAAAAACTTATTAATAAATTATTCTCTTGAAACATCAACAACATTAAATATCGTGACAGAGCTTACCAACGAGTTTAAGATGAGACTTATCCGTTTCCCTATACACAACGCAATGTTTTTGTTGTGCCATTAAAAGGCATAGCGCTACAGCCAAATCATGTTCAGCTAGGGCTTCTTTTAATCGTTGCGATGATTTTTTTGTATTGCGTACTTGACTGAAGTAACCGGCCTGAAATTTGTCGTATAATTGTAGAACTTCTTACAGATATGTATATAGATATGTATATATGGAAATTTTAATAAAATTACTTCATTCTTTAATAAATCTCCACCTGCCATGGCATCTAATTGATCCGAAGTCATTTCCTCAGCAGCTTCGATACCTGCCATCTTTTGTACTATTTCTTTTAATATTAATAAATCTAGGCTGAAAATTATAAAATGATAATTATCATTTATTATTCTTATTACGCAGCATTACGTGGTTTTCATAGGAGTTATTATATAAGATCCATTGCAAATAATAATGATTGTTAATGAAAGTTTTAAATAACTGTAAAAGTAAAAATCTAAATATAATAAACGAAAACGTAAAAACCGTACGATGTAATTTGCTACAGCACGATAGCTATGAACTTTTTGTATGATGTTATAATATAAACGAACTTATACATTTAAAAATTATCAGATAGCTCTAGTTTTTCCTTTGATTTTTTAAATCTATTGCAATAAAATTTAAATCCCATCTCTTTTATTTATATTTTAAAAAGTACTTAATATATACAAATTTACTAATAATGCTATTTCCTTAATATGTGATATTCGTAATCTAATTCTAATTCTTTTTCCTCTTTTCTTTTTTTTTAGATACATTTGGTATTGTATTTTATGACAAAGATTTCCACTGTTTCCTTTCAAAACTATTATAAGAATCCTTGTTTCATACTTTTTATTGCAGAGATTCATACATTTAACTAGTCTATATCACCTTATTTCTGTTCCATTCAAATTATATTATCCAAAGTCTTTCGTCCGTTAATTAAAATTTTGATCTTTTTCTCTTTTTTACGAATTTTTTTACCTAGAAAGAAAAAGTACAATGCTAAATACTTTAACGTGTCCGAAGCATGCTTTCATCAATATTAAAATTTCTTAAATATTAAAGCAAATTCTATGAAATAAATATCTAGTATTTACCTTGTCCTTCTAGGCTTTTATTGCATTGGTGGCAATATTTCTTATATATTCTTTAAACCTTAACTTATTAGTCTTTTCAGTTGTCATCAACCAAATAATTCTATTATTCCATGTTGTTGACATCTTATGATCATTAATATCTTTTTAATATATCAGTAATTGAATTTTAATTATTGTATTTAATTCAATATAAAAGTGAGTTCTTTTATTTTTTTTATATTTATTCATTTATTCCTTTTCCATGACTGTTTTCAGTCATTATTTTTCCTTATATTTTAATTTTCTTTATAGTAAAATATATATGAATATGTATCCCACAAATCACTTGTATTTCATTATTCCAAAATAACAAATTCTTATTTCATTAAAATATAATGATTCATAATCATTCATTAATCCAGAAATAAATAAAATCCATAAAATTTGCTCCAGAATGTCAAACATTTATATCAATTTATATCAGTCTTCTTCAACTATTTGTATTGGATTTTTATGGAATTTTGTGCGGATCAATATATAAAAAACGAAAATATTATATTACAATCAAAGACATGTTTGAAAAGAATGAAGAGAGAATCTTATATGCCACCCTTTTAAAATTATCATTGGTAAAATTCCTTTGCAATGAAAATTTTGTAAATTTTATTTACTCAATGATATTATGTGTTTCCATTTACGAACTATTACAGCAGAATGATAGTGTATGTATGTTCACTGCAATTAAAAAGTTTTCATAGTACATTTATTATAATTTAATCAATTTTTTTCATGTATTCATGAGTAATAATTATTTTGAAATTACAAACAGTGGATCAAAATTTGTATTTTAACTTTTTTAAATTTTTGTTTGAATATCTCCTCTGCAATATCATATATACACTTAATTACAACCATGTTTATGAAAACTCTCTATTTAAAAAAACACACTGTTTGTCTGGATAGATTTTAACAAGAATTCAAATATAATTGACAAGTTTTATGTATTTAAATGTAAACCTTGAGAACATAATATATATTTAGTAATAATTTTCCTGTGACTAACGAAAACAAGATTGTGATTTATTAATAATTTGTATTAATATTACCACTGAAAAGTACGACAATATATAATACTATTTCAACTTCCTTTATGTGTGGTCTGTTTTTTACTTAGCAAATCAAGAGAAAAATATAGAATCTTCTTTGTTTAGCTGTTTAAAGAATAAAAGATTATTTTTTATTTAATTAAAATCGAGCAGAAAGGGATTAAAAATATCACATTAACAATAATTGCTCTTAACTTAAAAAATTCTAAAAATCAAAAATATATATGTATAATATATGAATCTATACAACATGAAATGAATAAATTATTATATATTGAAAGAAATTAATTTTAATATAATGTACCTTTTTTGTGCTTTAAGTTGATTAGCTACATACTGCAGCAAACCAGTAAGTTCTATATTATACTTTTTAAATATGGCTCCGCAAAATGAAGCAAGGGATTGAAGCCAAAGAGATATGCTGGTGCCATCATGCTTAAATCTATCTCTGTCAGCACCAGCTAAAGCTTCTACGAGACAGTAACCAAGTACATCGTAAGAAATGTTAGTCAAATATTTCAAGGAATCTACAACAGGACCTGCAAACACGAAACAGTAAAATTTATTTAAAACACAAAACTTGAAGTGTACGTGCTTTCATAGAATTACTTGCATACCTATAAGATTATCATATAACTGGATTTGTATAAGAACGTAATCGAACAATACACCAGGTGACGAATGTGTAAGTTTGCCTATCGATCTTCCTACGGGCTTTATGGTTTCTTTGCTCACTCTTTTCATAATAGACTTAATTTTCTTCTGCGCATCTGCCCTTTTTCTTAAAAGCGCAGCATGTTGCAAAGGCGTATCATTCTTCCATCGAGCATACAAACAGTATCGATTCTGATATGGATAGTACTTTAAAATGTTCCACAATTCTTCTGCAACGCAACAGTTGCAGTCCATAAAAGACAATGAAGGCAGTAACGCCACATCGAGAATAGTCAATACGTCGTAATACAAATTATTTTTATCAACTGGTTGTTTATTAGTGTCTAATGGACACTGTTTTATAGCTGCATGACATAATCGCATGATCTTGTACATCAGAACAGGATCATGATGTAGATTAGGACCGAGGACTATGAGCATTGGTAATAATTGATCATGAATGTCCTCAAGACTCTCGATTGGCTTTGGAGCAAGAGAGCTCTTTAATTGCGGAACTCTTCTACCTTGCAATTTTGGCGATATTATACAATGTCTGGAATATGATGTAATAACACGGTATCAACAAATTTAATTATAAAAACACTTTGAATTCATTTCATTGAATTTTCTAGAGTGGATACGAATATAAAATGGAATTTACTTGCGATAAACAGGTTCAATAAGAGATTGAATCATTTTGCACAACGCTAATGCAATAGGACGTTGATCGGTGAGACTGTGTTCAGGTAATCGATTGAATAAGTTTTCTGCTACTTCCCAAGCTCCTATCTCTAGAAGTGCTTCACATAATCCGAACTTTTGATTACTTGCATACTTATCCTTTCAAAAAGTAACAAGATTAAGCAACAAAATCTTCCTCAATAATAAAATCGAATAAAATAAAATCATACTTGTTTAAATACCTGTGGATTTTCCTTCTCTTCTAGTATGTCCTCCTTGTCTTTCGTAGAAATTACGCTCAACTTGCGAACGTATTCTTTCGCCTGTTTCATTGCTTGTTCGTGTTCTTTAATAATTGTCTTATCATCTGGCACTAACCATGGCAATATATCGTCCAATTTAATGACACCGTGTTGCAACATAAGCGCAGTAACTTTTTGCAATGAAAATGGAGTAACATTGACAGTCGAACAATATTTAAATCCTAAAACTTCGCAGAGTACCTGCTGATCACTCATGTACGAGCGAATTAAAGGGATAAAAAGTGCATCGTCTTGAGGTCGATTCTCAAAAGTTTCTAACAAAATATCGAGCACTCTGTTAGGATCGAGATTAAAATATCCTAAAAGAATTATATATAGTCGTGTAGTTCCGTTTGTTATCATGACGTGTACGGTTCAAAATATGTATCGGAACGAAATATTTTACCGATAAGAGACTTAACAATTTCCAATATCGATGCTACTTCATTTTCTGGGCGTTCCTGATTCAATTCCACTATAAGTTTAGAATATCCTTCGCTTTCCTCTCGAAATAAATTAAACTTCCGTTGTTTATAACTGTAAATAAACATTTTATATAAATTTTTTTCTTTGCTCGCTTAACCTTTACACTGAACACTTTACATTCTTAACTAAATAGGAAAAATACATACTACAATTTTGTCTTCACTTTGATGAATTTGATTTGGAAATTCTTATTTTTCAGTGTTCCTACATCTTGCAATGTGTCAATGTCTAAACGTTCCTTCAATATCCTATCTGTGAGAAACTATATAAAAAGCAAATGACATAAGTTAATTATGCCATTAGAAGTATTTTAATAGGTAGTTAATAATTCAGTCATTGTTGCTATCCTACAAAATGATACCTTTTCTGATTCTTTTACAAGATAATAAAAATTATTTCTTTCTTCGTTATGTGCTTCCGCGTCTATCAGTGTAAATATATCCACTATTGCAGATGATATTGCCGCATCAATATTCTGCAAAGAAAGGAAAAAAAGAATGTGCTTTAAGTAAGAGAGAACAATAGAATTATTTGATTAATAATTGCTGAAAGCAAACTATTGCAATATTATCTCTGATTATTGAACTTACTGTTAGTTCACCTAATGTCTGAACAACATTGTCCCTTTTTATGTTTCCACGGATTCCATTTGAAATTAATTCGTATAATCCTCTTCTCCATTCTAAAAGTAAAGATAACATTGTACAATAATCATAATAAAATATAGAAACATAAAATAAATGTTATGTGTTAAAAGGTACTTCAGAAATATTAGTTTATAAACGTATATATATATTTGCGTATGTGAAAAATAAGAATAATAAAGACCTCAAGAATCTGCAGAATTTATTAAACTAATTCATAGATGATAAATATTTACATTCATGGATAAAAGAATGTAAGAAACATTGGTTAAACGTGTTTCATGATCTTTCAATATTCAGTTAGATTTCTCACATAATAAAGAGGAAGGAAAGTATATTATAAATTGATGTGTTGCTTATGAAATAATGATGGTACAACGTAAATAATGATCGATTTCAAGGCGCGTAAAGTTGTACATTATGTGTGAAAACATGGCTCAAGCTGTTGGGATAAATTCGAATAGTGTGGAACCTCACCTGCAGTGTTGCCTTCCTTAAATTTGTGCTTGATTAACTTGAGGCTGCAAACAGTTGTTAATTGACAATTAACTCTTCAGAAGAGCGAGAAACAGGAGAGATAAGTTGCAACCATCAATTGCACAGAAGTATGCAGTATCAATTCAATATTAATCGAATCGCACTTTCGGACGTTAACGCGTTAACCACTTACAAATCGTTTTTTCCATGTTTATCCCATGCTTTCCATATATCTGTATTCCACACTTTACCAGCCATTTTAATTCCATGAAAAGCTTTTTTATGATTAAAAACAGTTGTATCAACATCACAGGTTAATAGACTCCATTTTCCACCATTGCAAGCGTCCTCGAAGCTATCGTGGCGCGATCTTTCTTACGCCACATATCATATCTAGTTTGGTATCTTTACTGACAGCAGATTTCCCTCAATTAGTAAATTAGTTTACTAATAAAGTATCAGACAAAAGAGGAAACAACTATGCCGTTAATTGCGTATATAATTAGTTCACAAAGTTCTTTCTACAGTTCTTCTTCAGATTTGACTTTGCCATTGTAAAACTGCTTGGATAAAATTAACAAGTTGTACTCTTGAACTTTTCATTTGTGAAAAAGACACTTGTATCATAACAATGTATATACATAGGAAATATAAATGTACGATATTGATTTATTCTAAAAATTAAAGTTATATTTCATGTAACACGGGAAAGTGTACCTAACGGTTTATATGATGAAAAAGTTTGTGATGAAAATCTAGGGGGCACTAGATTCTAAATTCTAATATATTACAGAACAGAAAGTTACGTTTTCAAATATTGATGAGATATTAATTAAAATTAATAATATTAATTAAGAAGATATCTAGTGAAAAATGATTAATTGAATTTCAATGAAAAGATTTTGTAAATTGTTTACGTATTAATAAGTTATTTTGTTATTCTGGTTTCCCTTCATGCAAGTTATTTTGCTTATTTTGTATTTATAAAAAAATATGTTGTTTATCTTATAACAATACATATATATATATA